TATTGAAAAGTGGTAGATGTGTCTTCAGCTTTAGATGCCTTGCAGACCCCACAAAACCTATCTCCATCCCCGTTTTAAAAAGGATTTAGGCTAGAAGTAATTTAGTTATTTCTAGAAGTGTATTGGAGGATCCAAGTGCTCTGTTTGCATTTGTGAGGCTGCATCAGTAAGTCAGAGATGTCCACAGGGCATGACCAGGCAAATGACTGCAGTCATGAGCCAACCAGAATTGTGATGGACCTCAACTAATGTGTACAGAAAATATTTCATCCATGAGACTCTGTGCAGTGAACCAACAGAGGTGAGAGCAACACCCAAGTTTGGCACCTATTGAGGAAGTTGGTTGGAATATATTGCATAAGTCTCCACACCATCTGTATGTGCAGCCAAAAGCCAGCTCCTTGCATTGTGCTGATCCCCAGAACGGGCAGGATGGAGGCAGACATCCTCCCTTGCTCCATGCTGGTTTTCCTCATGGACATATATCTTGGCTCCTGTCTCTTCGCCCCTGACGCACCACGTCGCCATTCCTCCCGTGGGTGAACCTGAGACGGCTGCACTGAGGATTTTGCTGCTTTTGAAGTCTGATTTGCAGATCAGTGCCTTTAACTAAGGCATTAGGATGTCTGTTTTACATAACCCTTGCTGAATCTTGCTCTGCAAAAACCTTTTAAAGAGGAAAGCCATAAGTGGAAAATGGTATCCGTCATGGGAGCACTAGCTTAAAGCATCTGTGTCCTGACAGGATCCAGCTGGGACCTGGGGGAAACATGGTGTGGGACACATGCACAGCACCAAGGGGGTTGTAGCCCAGGAAGGAGAGCAGAAGGAAAAGCTATTTCATTTTTATTTGACATTTGAAAATTGAATTAATACCAATTTAAATCTAATGTATGGCTCAGCTTGTATGAGGCTGTAGGTAAAACCCTCATGCCTTGTAACACCAAATCTATATGCAAAAAGCAAAACTGTACTGCAAGTTAAATTGAAAATTACTTCTCATGAAGTAGAAACATCAACTTTTACTCCAGATAAGTCTGAAGACAGAGAAAAGACCAGCAAAGTATTACACACTAGTTTCAGGATTATCTTCTTCTAGTAGAACTAAGAATTACTCTGAACAGCAGTGAGAAGGGTACTGTTAAGTAAAAATGTTTGGAAGTTATTCTTTGGCCAAAATGATCTCAGAAAATACTGTGGTGCCACTGAAACCGATGCCTGAACAGTGTTTAACTTCACAGAGTTGTGACTTCAGCTCAGCTAGCCAGTCACTAGATACATGACAAGTTACTTTCCCCTTATGGTGAATTACTTATAAATTTTAATCAGTATTACAGTGAATAAATTAGTATATCTTGTATAAACTCCCCCTTTACAACTCCTGTAGGCCATGATTTACTAATTAAAGTTCTCGATGGGTTGGCTCCACATCCTGCTGAACTGATACATCAAATGATGTCCCTAGATCATCATTACTTGACAGTGTACATAGCTTAGAGATGTACTGACACTTAGTTTTTAAATGAAACATATGGATGAGAAGTTCATTGGCTTTATTTAATTTATATTTCCATATTTAAATCTCAACCAAAGTTGATAATCATGGGAGCTTCAGAGAGAGAAGCAGAATTACAGTTTTATTTTCTTATTCAGAAAATATACAGCTAGTCGTTTATTGAGAAGGAACTTCTTTTTCTCATCTTGGAAGATGCTCTGAATATACTTTTCCCCATTCCCTCTGTTTCTTGGTTATTCAAATTAAAACAGCCCAAGAAGTAAAAGTTCATATGTTAAATAAAACCATCTCCTTAAGCATTCAGTGTTAAATAAAGTAAGCAGTAACATCCTCCTCTTTTATGTTCAAAGCTAGATAGACAGAAGTGGGTAAGTATTTATTTGCACATATCCTCGGCTGTCTCCACTTCTCTTTCATACCAATTAATACCTGGAAATGGGAACTAGTTTTATTTAAAGGTAGCAGGTGCTTCCTCTGCTGTTAAAGGCTCCACCAGTCTCATGACACCAGGCATTATTTCAGGGAGAGCTAATTTGTCCAAGAGCATATAAACAATCTGCATGACTTTGTGCTTATTGCTCCAGGTTGTGTTCTCTGCTTCCGTCTGACGTGTAATTTAAAGATAGGTGGCAAAACTCACCTTTCAAAACAAATTTGATAGTGGGTAGAAAGCGTAAGGGTTTAGCAGTCAAACACTATTTCCAATGAGTATTTTAATGATAGAGGTAAACATCTGGTGTAAGCATTACCTGCGCAAGCTGCCTGTGTGCTGCATTGAGGTCCCTGCAAGTGGTCAAAGTGAGGATAGGGAAGCTGGGTTATTTGTACTTTTGTCCGTGCCTTTGGCATACATCCCCTGACATTACAGAGAGGTGGGCAGATGGGGAAGCTGTTTGGCAGCACCAGGCCCCTTCATAGCCAGGATCTAGCAAGCTCAATAGGCAGCCAGAAATAATTCAGATGATGGTTGAGCAAGTCAATCTAATTATCTGACTGCCGGGATGTAAGAACTAGAAGGGAGACTCCCTCAGCAGAGCAGACTGGGGTTCCTGAATACTAGAAAAAAAATTCCAAAGTGCAGAAGAGAGGCACTTTCCCACTCACTGTACCTAGAAGATGACGTAGGAGTCGAATGAAGCCAGAGCCTCATGCTGTTGAAATGTTATGTCAAAGTGTAATCTCTTCTTAAAACCTTTCCTGGTGATTGTAAGACCCACATTGCCCCAATCCCAAAAATACAAGAGGGAGGAAAAGTAGGGAAATTCCTATTTCCAGGTGTATCTGGAATAAGAGAAAATAAATCTTCCCTCCTGCTCTGACAGAATTAATAGTAAAAGGAGAAGAGATTTAACCTTGCCCATTTATGAAATGTCATGACAGTGGATTTGCAGCATTTGGTACAATAACTGACAGTGCCCTGTGGTATGCAAGCATGTAGATACCTCTAGGGAGGCTACTTTTGAGGTTAAGATCAGGCAGGACCAAGGCATATGGAAGTGATAGGTAAGAACAGGACAGTGGGAAAAAGCAAGTGGACTTGTCTTTTTAGATACTATGATTAATCGCTTCTTGGTGGGTAGGGTTGTATAAAACTCTGGGCCTGTATAGTTTCTGCCCTCAGAGCATTTAAATCAGACAGTATTTGATGCTGGAAGATGGGGAGGGCAGGTCACTAATTCACGTGCCAAACTGTAATCCTGATAACAGGTTCCGGTTACTTTTTTTTGGAAACGACTGTGAAAGGTGGTGATTAGAGCAGCTTTGGAGCAGACTAGGTTCAGAGCGGTTACAGGGCCATGACTCCAGAGAATGAGGTGTCTTCTGTGTTGACATAACCTTTTCCGTAATGTCACTGTGGCTGCTCTGTACATGTGGGGAGGGGAGTGAAATGGCAGCCTGACAGGTCCACAGACTGTAACCACCATAGAAGTGAGCAGGGCACAGCGCAGGGGGCTTTGGCGAAGCACCTGGCTGTACAGCTGTGCCTTTACTTGTTTGGAGGTTGAAATGTTGAGGAAAGGAGGGTGCACTGCTGTTCTGCCAGCCTCCTCACACACCTGTGCAGTGCAAGCACAGAGAGGCACTTTGTTAGCCTCTCCAACCAGGATTAATGGGAAATTACCCACACAGAGTGTTCAGCAATGCCCACCTGTCCAACAGGAATTCCTGCCTGGGAACATTGCTGATCTACAGCATGAGAAATGCTCTACTTTTACATAGGTTAAGCATTTTGTGAATGTATGGTGTGTGATTTTTTTACTGTGAGTTAAGACAAATTCTGAGATTCCCTTTGTTTTGATTTTTAGCCACAAGGTAGCTTAGGTTGAGTGAAGCTTGCATTGCTGTTGACCTAGGTAAAGCATCAAAAGAGCAAGAAATCTGAGTGTCCCTCCACTCCTATTTCAGGTTTTCAGATCAGCTTTGGACCTATTTCGGTGTATCAATTTGTGATGTACAGCAACAGAATATGTGGTTTCATTGTGGCATGTTCATTACCTGGGTGATGAGAGTGCTCAGCTTCTGAGCAGCTCCACAGCACATACAGGCAATGACAGGATCTCACTGAGATCTCAGTCTTTACTGCCTCAAATAGTCTCATAACATCCATTGTAGATGCTTTCAGCTGAAAAGTATCTTGGCATAGTGTAATGCAGAGTAAGAAAAAATGTCAATACTTTCAGAATTATTAAAACTGTGATTGACTGAAAAATTAATCTGTAAGATCAAGAGCTGATAATGTGGGGACTGACTTCAGACACTTCTCCGTGTCTGAACATTCTGCTAAATGTGTTTGCTATGAAATCTTCAGCATCAGTTTTGATTAGTTTGAACCCAGTTCACCTCTTTAACTATTTTTTCTCTTACTCTCTATTCATCTCAACCACAAAGAGTATTTTTCTTTCTGCTATCACATAGTAATTTATCTCTAAAATATTTTTTTAAATATTTTTAATCAGCCTTTTTTCTTTATTACTGATTGTTTGGGTGGTTTATTGGAAGCTTAAAATATTTTACATAAATCACTTTCAGAGAGTGCTATTGAGTAATATCTCATAAACGCTGCATCAGCATAGTACAAAAAGTTAATTTGCACAAGGTTAACCTGATGAGCTCTGGGACAAGTACTTTCTGTTTAATCTGAGATAGAGTTATTAATTTGATATAATTTTAATTTTCAAATTAACATTCTCTTCTGCAAAGCATAATCACCTTTCTGTTGTTTGTAATACTACAGTCCTTTTAGTTAGAGCTGTTCTCTGCAGAGGAAGACATGGTGCCTTACTGAAGAGCTTACTCTTAGTAGAGAAAAGACAGGTATTAAAAGGGGACACTGGACAGTGACATGGTTTGCCAAAGGTCACACTGCAAGCCATCAGCAGAGTGAGAAGCAAAATCTAAATTACCTAAACCTCATTCCAGTACCGTATCCAGTGACCATGCTGCCTCTTAATATGTCGCTATTCTTACTGTTTTTTCTTTGTAGTTCGGGATCGGGTGCGATCAAAAATGGAGAGAGATATTTTGGCAGAAGTGAATCATCCTTTCATAGTCAAGCTTCATTATGGTAACTATAATAAAATATAATCCATGTTTGTTCTTAGATTGGTTGGGGAATTGTAACTACATGTGTTATAATTTCATACAGATACCCTCTGCCTACTTTTGACTCTGTCTCTAACAACGTCACAGAGGCTACCTGTGTAAAATTCTTCATTTATGCTAAAGGAGAATTTCATTATAAGTAGGTTTTAGCCATTCCTCCATTAAAATACATTTGTCTTAAAGTCTGATGTGATAGTGCTCATGGGGTAGTTGGTGAGTATACATCTACCAACTCCTTCACCTGCTGTCAGGTATCATTTAGAAAACCAGAGCATGTAAATAAAAACTGTTCTTAATAATCAGCCTCACTCCAGATTTGTATATATGAGTGTATGAATGTGGTGTCTTGCTAGAGCTGCCTTCCTCTGCCTCACCAGCTCCCTGAGGAGCCCCATTATTACTGTAAAGGGTCTTCTGAGGACATTTTGGATAGTGAGAGCTCTCCTTCCACACAAACCTGGGAGCTTCTCTCTATGCTTAGTCCTCAGTGACTCCTGATACCTTGTGCAGTGGAAGGCAATATTAATTCATAGGTACTTAGCATGGAAAAGAATATATTAGTAATGCATTGTTGTCTCTCAGCTGATACCATTTTTTCCCATAGTCTAAGCTTGATTGCTTAGTTCTATACAGAAATTAAATTTTTCTGTTCTCAAAGTGCAGAAACAACAGGGAAGCTAATGGCATGAATGATACACTTCTAGTCAAGATTCATTTTTTGGAGAATTTATCTTGATTCAAACTTCCAACATCTCCATCCTTTTCTAATGCAGCATTTCAAACAGAGGGAAAGTTGTATCTAATACTAGATTTCCTGCGGGGAGGGGACCTTTTCACAAGACTCTCCAAAGAGGTAAGCAGATAGATTTTTAACTTACAAATTAAAGACTGTCCTGGATTTTCAAAACTTGGATTAAATTGGTGGGAATGAAAAATGGCCTTGGGAATAGTCCTGCTATATATATATTCAATAGAGCTGTATCATCTCGCATCTTTAAGTTGATTCTTAATAATTTTAGTTAAATTATGGCGTAGTTAATTCAGCAGATAGCATGTAATCATCACTGTTGTAGAAGACTGCATCACTACTAAGCCATTCCCATAGCAAAGTAGCCCCAGACTCATTGCTTGCAAAATATGTCTTGGATGTGATGAGAAACAGTCTGAGAAATCATTTTGTTCAAGACACAGGCAGAAAACTGCTGGAAAACCACAGTCACTGCCAGCAGAAAGAAGAGGTGCCCCCAGCCCCTGCAGCGAGTGTGCAGACAGCCAGGCATCAGCCAGTGAGAGGGGCAAGGGCCTTCTCCTGCAGCAGCTGCTGGGAGCGGGCTGGAGGCCATGAACCACCCTGAGGCTTGGAGGTCTGCTGTCACAGCCCTTACTTGCTCTCCTCCTCCTCCTGCCTGCCTGGGGGCAGCTGCTGCTTCTCTCACCTCCCTGGGCTCCCATCCCTTCCCTGTCCTCTGCAGCCACTGCCCCTGGAGAGGTGTTCTGCTGGAGAAAATGGCAACCAGGGACTGGTCCAAACCTGAGTCTCACTGATGCCTGTAGAGAGCGGCAGTGGCAGGCTTTTGAGGTTCATCTAGCACTTACGTGATCTCCAAATGCCTCTTAGAGCCCGCTGTCTGCATCCTTGTGGCAGTGCATCCTCATGCGTGTAGCCTCAGAGAGGGCCCTGCAGGTGGACGGGAGGCTCCCACCAGGCAGCCCTCCAGCCCCAGGGTGTTCTGTCACCAACAGGATGTCCCCAGGCCTTGGTCGCTTTCTCGGGTGTGTGGACACAGGGGTGCAGACAACCACTTAACACCCAACCTTGAAGGATAAGATAGAGACATTTCAAATGCCATCTTGAGGGGAAGCTCTGTTCACTCTTCTTGGTTTGTGGAGTTATTGATGGACTAAAAAAGCTGTAAGAACAGTACTTTTATTCAAAAGTTCCCTGGCTTTTTTTTTTTCCCCTTCTGGTTCCTGGTTCGATGACATGCTGCAGGCTGCTATGTGCACCACAGCTTGAGACACCAAGTATTTGCTTTCAAGACTTGTTTGCTAATGTGAGAAGACATTAGTGACAGGTTAATTACACTCCGAGTAATGATACTTGTAAAACTACTCAGGACATCATAGCAGTTATTTTTAATATGAAGAAAAAGATTAAAGAAAATATTCTTCTCTGTTTGTTCATGAAATTTGTTAGTGAGACAGCATGCTCTCCAATTTCATGGAAGAAGAGAGAAGAAGTGATTTTTCCCTACAGAGGGCAGTTAGGGCAGTTACCCATTCTGCACAGTCAGGGAACTCAAAAGTGGAAGAAAACAGCTCAGATTTTGTACTCTTTTAAAACTCCACATTTTTCCCAAGCCTTTTCCATTCCAATTCCAATACTATCAAGAACGCCTCCTCTTAACTTGACAGTCCTTTTGAATGCTTCTTTTTTCAATGTTTGTAGCTCATCTTGTCTACCTGTACTTTGCAGCTGTTTAGTGGCAAGGTATCACAAGGGAAGAAATTGTGGGGAAACTTTTACTGTTTGCAATTTGTTAGTTATGGATTTGGTCAAATGGCATTGATTTCAGTGGACTTTCAGTCTGATCCCATATACTACAGCATGGATGCATGCAAAGCTTGTCTCTCTCTTATTCTTTCTTAGACATCTGACTCTACATATATATGGTATAGATCAGTTTTTTGCTGAGTCTACTGATTTTCTCTCTTGTCTACATTATTTATTTTAAACCTTATAAATAATTTAAATTTATTTTGATAATTAATACAATTTTTATGTTCAGACCAATTAAATTTTTAGTAAGTTTTTGCTTTTGTATCCTTTTCCTTTCTAGCCTTTGCAGTGATATTCTTAATTATGTCACCTTTGTTCTCTGAATCCTCTCTTTTTGCTCTCAGCCCTCTGCAGCTTCTTAGAGCACTTAATTATTGTGGCTACCCCTTTCCAAGAGCAAAGACTTAATTTTAAAAATAAGTTTAGCAACTTCTACTGTAGATATTTACATTTACAAATGGTGTGTAAATTTCTACTGGGCCTACTCATTTTACTTCTGTCATACATAGTATTCACACCTGTGTATCCAATATATCAGCTTCTCTTTCTGCATTATTATTGCTGTACACATTGAAATATAATTAAAGAGAAATTAATAACATCTGGGATATAATGAAAGTTGAACCAAAGGGGTTTCTTGCCATCTGAGTTTTTCCAAACTTAGTGGGTTTTCAACTACAGAAGTTTCTTCCCATCTAAACCAGAGCTTTCAGTGTTAGCAGTATCCATATCAGCTACAGAAAGGAAATATCTGCTCTCACTTTGAACTTTATCAGGCCCTGGATGTTAGACAGCACATCACTGCTTAGGGTACCTGCACTGAAATTCCTTGCACCCTCAATGCCCAGCATTTTAAATCCATCTCTGAGTCTCCTCGTGCTGCATATTCTTCTCAGATTTGGAAGCATTTCACTGTCCCAAAGAGGTTACCCCATGTTATTTTGTGGGAATTTGGCAACCAAATGCCAAGAGTTTAGCAAATTAATAGGTATGAAAGTAATAAGGGCTGCACTGAACATATTGAATTTTACCATTTGTTGCCAAAGGCTAAGGGGTTAGAACCTTATTCATATTGTGACATAGTGTCATCTAAACAGATCAAACAGATGAAAGCAGCATGATTTAAGGAACAGAGTACTCAACAGATCAAGCTTTGTTTTTTAAGGAGAATCTGGTAAGAATTGTTAGTGTGAACTCAGCCAACTTATGGAAAATTGAACCTGATATGATGGTCCTTCCAGCATTCCTGAATTAGAGCATTCCTTCTCCATGTCTGTTTAATGCAAGCCAGCCCACTGCTGTCCAGTAACGAGATGTGTTCTTCTCTTCCTTCTCTCTAGGTGATGTTTACAGAAGAGGATGTCAAATTCTACTTAGCTGAGCTGGCCTTGGCATTAGACCACCTCCATGGTCTTGGAATTATTTACAGGGATCTAAAACCAGAAAAGTAAGTTAATGAGAAATTGTGAATTGAAACATAAATACATGAGCTTTTATGTTGTTTCTGCTCCTTGTCACTCTAGTAAGTCAGAAGGTGCCAAAGACTCTGCCTTCCTTCTTGTATGTGAGACTGTAGACGTGAGACCCACACCATCAGCAGTGGGGTCTTCCTATCATATCATTTTAGCATGAGGCCAAATATTCTGACTGAGCTCCACTATGATGGGGTCTCTGTGTGCCTGGCCTTCAGTTTAGTGAATGAGCATGAGATTCAGATCTCTCTGCCTTTGACTTCAGTAGCACTGTTCTCCATTTGAAGCATTTAATCTGACCTTCCCTTTGGTGCAGTATGAACTGCTCAAAGCAAGTCCACTTCCAGCTCATAGAAAACATGTGGCACTGTTCAGTTTTAATGTAGTCATTGCTTAAAGTAAATGAGCATCTCTGAAAACTAGTGTGCATATTAGCTCACAAGAGACACAATAATCAGGATTTTCAAAACACTTTTATTAACAATCTTAAGTATTTTTCCAAGAATTATTCCCACTTATATTTGCAGCTATTTTCTATTCCTAATGTGGTGTTATGGAGAATTTTCCTTTCTCTTTTTTCTTTATGGTATATTAATAGATTAAATGACACCTTCAGCACTATCACTGGGAGTGATGTGATACTGTTTCCATTCTGTGCCACATGCCTGGTGCTTTGCCTACATCTTCTGCGCAGTCTCCAATAAAACAGGCTGAAATGTTTCAAAGTTACCAGCCTTCTTAATGTCATGGTCACTGTCATTTAAAAAAGATGACCACCGAGAGCAGTCTCTTTGTCTGCTGTTGCTTACACTTCCAAAGTATAACAGAAGAGCTGCCTTTTCCTTCTGTGACATGAAATTAAAAAATATACAGCACTTTCTTTAAAATGGAGTGCTACTGCTTTTACACTTACGGACAAAATAAGAGAGACTAAAGGAAGGTGGACTCTGTAGGTGAGCAGCTGAAGAGAACACTGTTTATCTACAATACAGTGTTATGTGATTTAAACTTTAAATTCAGTTCTATGTTTTGGTTACAAAGATAGTAGTAGTAGTAGTAGTATATGAATTCACAGAGATGTATGTAACAAGCTCTCAGTCCTTTGGGCTAGAGACCCTTTCACAGATGACTGAAATTTCCAGTCTTGACCGTTTATGCAACCAAAACTGTAAACCAGAGTCTTTGGCAAATACAGGAAGCCATCCTCCATATTAAACAACTGGAGGGAGAAAGGTACCAGTTTGTTACTAATACGAAACATAGGTAGGCAGCAGTCACGCCATAGCTGCCACTGCCATGTGCTGTTACACCGTCTACCAGCAGCTCTTCAGTTTCAACCTCGTTCTGAATTCCGATTTTATTCATTCAGCATCAACAAACATGTACATAATAGAATAACTCCAATTACAGGTTTCAGTTTTAAACTTTTTTTCTAGTGAGCATGAGTATGAATCATGCACTACTTTCTGGTGTTAAATGAAGCTGGCTTTCAAGCTAACACGTGATATATGAAGCTGTTATTAGAAGGTATGCAAATATGAGCCTGTATATTCAAATATAAGTCACAGTGCTGTTACATTTATAGGTACATGCCATAATTTTTTGCTTTAGGAGAAGTTAAAAACTGAGGAGAAAATTAAGTTTGTGTCAAAACTATTCATTGTATTTGAGAGACTGAGGACCTCATTTTTCAGAGTTCTCATCATTGAGTGTCACTGTGCATTTCAAAGCACATCTCTCACTGACTTCAGTTGCAAGTGAGAGCACTTAAAATTTCTGCAGACCAAACTGCACTGCCTCAAATCAGGGATCAGTGAACTGAAAAATTAAAGCTCACCTAAGAAAAGAAGGTGTCACTGATTTGCCGTTGTCACATAGAAGCATGTCGAATCCAGTTCTTTGTGCATTTTTATCTGAGCTGAGACCAGCCAGCCATTCCCCTTCATTACTCTGCTAGAATCCTTGAGTATTACCTGTTCTGCCACCTTAGGCGAGATTTCTCTGGAAGAAAACAAAAAGTATCATCGTGTAACTAAAGACCTTTATAAAGTGAGATCACTGTGTAAAGTTAAGGTGACAGTCCTCATGCTTGTATTTCCTAACTTTTGAATACATGGTTTATGGTCTTTGATGGACAGTTAAATAGATACCAGTGATATAGTTGAATCTGGATACAATTGTCATAGTATAAAATTAGTTTACATGAACATAACTATTATTGTACAGGAAAGGGAATGACACAGACTGGTATAACTCAAGTTCATACTTGGGGATAAATCAAGGCATCTGTTTGACTGAAAACCATATCCATCAAAAATAGCTTTATAAGTGCAAAGCCTATGCGTAGCCATGCCTAGGACAGTAGAGCATGGCAGCCTATGATTTCGCTGGAACTTTAGGTTTACTGTAAAAAACAAGATACAGCAGAAAAAAAATATTTATTCTGAAGGGGAAAAAAAAAATGCTCTATTTTTAAGTTACCTCTGGGAAAGGATAGGTTTCTAAATAAGATGATAAAAGAAAATTAGGGTCATCCCAAGATGTTCTCATGCTCCCCTTGCCTCTGGGCAGGGACAAATATATCAAGACCATTACAGGTGTGTTGCTAACCTAATCTTAAAATAGCTGGTGGAGACCCCATGGTCTCCATAGGAGGCTTCTTGGCAGTGCTCCACCAGTTGTACATCTAGCAGGTTGCTCCTAGTAGCTAATTTGAAAATTCTTTGCTGCAATTGCAGGCCACTGCTCCTTGGCCTGTCCTCCTGGACTCCCCAACCTGCTCATTCTGCTCTCAGCAGCAGCCTCAGGGGATTGGGAGCACATCCTTGTCCTTGGACCCTCTTCTGTACCCTAAACAATCGAGCTACTGAACTCTACTGGCTAGTCTTTCTAGGTCTTCAGTCATTCTCATTCCTCTGCTTTGGTTTCTCTTGATCCGTATCTCCTTTGAAGTGCAATGTGCAGAATTACACCCATGTCTTCAGGAGAAGCATTACCAGTCTAATTAGAGCACAAGGCTTACTCTATCAGATTTGCAGAACTGGAGAGAAATGTATTAGTTTGTAACTTCCCAATTATTTCTCTCCCCTTTTATTAAAGATAGGGACTGCATTTGACCTTTCATTGTTCAGTGTTTTTGCTGTCCTTCAGAAGCTCCCAAAAATAAATGCTAATAGATTTGAGATCTCTTCAGTTGGTTCTGTAAGTATCCTGAAATTAAGTTCATCAGAATTATCAAAGAAGACTAGATAGAAAATAACACTGTTCAGACCACTTGAAAAAACCTTAAATTTACACTTAAAATTTAAGCTCCAACATTTTTTTAAGATTCCCTGAGAAAAAATCCATATTAACAATTCAAAGCTGTGAATTAATTTTAAGTGCAACCAGAATATAGACTCCGGAAGTTGTTATAAAGTTAGCTGTACCTCAAAAAGGCAAGCAATTGACTTTTCTGGTTAACATCTTGTTTCGAACAAGCATATGCTTTCCTTAAATTGTTGCAGCCAAATTCTTCTCCTTGAGTTGTCTTGGTGGTTTCAGTGGCATCCGTTGTGGAACAAAGTACTGTTCAGTCACACTGAAACCCATGGAGTTACTTTACATGGTGAGGCATGTTTCTGTTTAAGAACTGCAGGATCAAGCTATTAAACATGGTAAATATAATGAAACAGAAAAATAAGAACTTACAAAGTAGTATATGATGCATATGTATTTCTTACGTGTGGCTTAAGGGTATGAGTTACTTAGAAGTAACTCAACCTTCTGAAAATGCACAGACTTTTTTTTATTTACCTTCGCCTTTTCTATCTCTAGGTACCCAAATGCATCTAGATACAGTTCTGTCATAGGGGCTTTGATTACCAAGGAGTGGTTTATGTTGTAAAGACCTCAGTGTCTGTACAAGGGACAGCTCCTATAACAGCTCATATAACCACTCCTAAATTGCTGAACTGTATTTAAAAAAACCCAGACGACTGCTGCTTAATGCACCATGTTGTAAACTGTGGAAATTCATTCATGAATATAGCTGTCCTGTGTAGAGAGGAAAGATCTGAGAATCAGTAGAGGACAGAGACTTATGGTGGAAAATAGCCATTATCTTCCATTGAAGTAAGCAATCCCTTTTTGGGTCTTCATGGTGTCAGTGAAGCTACAGTAGAGATGAGTTTGGCTTAAGACTCTTCAGCATGGTCAAATAGTATGGGTCATGCAAGCACTGAAATATCACAAAACATGGTCAGTTTCTGAGAATCTTCATCTCTTTGGGAGATATTTGAATATTTCAGTCTATCCCGTACTTTCATAACAAAACCTGCAATCAAATTAAACACACTTGATCAAGTTTCAGGTTTTCTTTCCAACCTGAAAATTTGGCTACGATTTCTGAAAGACATACAGTATGGGTTGAATTCTTTGCAAAACTGAGCTGACTTGGAAAGAAACTTAAATAATCTGAAAAAAAACCCAGCATTCCAGTTTTAATAGATTTGGCAGAACTTCACTTTGATTTGGGTATGCTGGAGTTCACAGTGAAGCCTAAAAGACATTACTCAAAGATAGAAATAAAGAGAGAAACAAGTGAGAGTGGCTTTGGCCTTGCTTTAAGATATGTTATAAATTAATGTCAATAACTAATAACGAAGGCTTTTTACCTCTGTGCTGAAGGTGCAGCAAAAAAAACTATTATAGAGTTTGCAGGCCTAGCTCTACTATGAGCTTTTCCTGTAACTTGGATGATCATTCCCCTGCTGCTAATTTAGCTGCCCAGCCTCTAACGTGGAGATTTTCAGCCTTTCTCCAGGTGTACTTTTAAACTGAAGTCAGTGAAAGCAGTCTGAATGTTCATGGGATGATCCTGAGGCTAAAATGTTGTTATTGTTTTGAAATAAAGAATGGGTTGACACTGACAGTATCCTGTAAACACACTAATACCTTAAACTGAACAAATAAAATGGAAAAATGTCATAGCAAAAGGTAATCACTCAATGCGATTATAGCCTAGTTTAACATTTAAAAGTAGTCTACTTCTCATGTTTTTATAATTTTCAAACATTTTTTTAGAGGAAATATTTTTTCTTAAGTCTGATTCACATTAACAGCTTCTAGTTCTTCTTTCCCTTCTGCAAAGTAATACTATCTTATTTCAGATTAGCTGATGCTGCAAACCATAGCTAAAATAATTGTGATTGTCACAATAGAATTTCTATTATGGACAGTATGGAATTAAAAGGAACTGTAGAGCGATAAAAAGAGAAGACAGAAAGTATGATCAGATAATGTTTGCTTTTACAGCCAAAGGAGTGCTATTTGTCGTGATTTGGATGTTTAGAAGCAGGTACATTTTTCTTTGCTTCTTAATGTCAGTCTAGGCTGATTCCGTGCAAGTTATCTTTTTTCTCACTGTTAGCATATTCTTTCCTTTTTACATCAAATGTCATTTTCAGTTCATAGCCATAGTATCGTACATGTTGGCAGATGGCAAATGTGGAAACACCCAGCTGTCCAAAGGATACTGCCAGGGGCCACAGGGGAAGCTGCAGGCAGCTGAGGGCACTGTAGAAGGGTGATTAGGGAACCACGAGACAGAAAAGGGACTGGAGATCAAGTTTAAGGGGATATAGGATACACACCCTTAGGAAACCAGGACCCATTCATTTTGCTGCTCATGCAAACACTGAGTGTGAGAAAGTCTTGTATGCTTCCGGCTCGCTTAACCTAAGACAGTATTATCAGTCTGATAGCCTCCATCCCTTTAATGAGAGCTAAGGTATGAATAATGTGTTGTATACATAGAAAAGCAGCATGGATTTTCAGTAGAAAATCTATGAAATATAAAATCAACGTTTCTGGGGAAAATCCCACAACCTTTGAATTGCATTGTTATTCACAGGGGCTTCCTGGGTGCAGGGCAAAATTTGGGGTGAGTTCTGCTCCCCCTTGCCATTCTTCCAGAGCCAGGTCTATGCAGTTCATACATTCACTCTCACTTCCATGCTGGCAGATGTTTTATTCTGTTCTTTTCTGAAGCACAAGCCTCTTGTTTAGGGATTGAAGTCACAAAAATACATTTAAACATGCCTGTTATGGACTAGTAATTAAAAATTATGCCTCTTCAAGAAATATGGGGAGAAAGAATAAAGGTAAGGATGCTTTTATCAAGAAGAAAAAGTTTTAATTATTGAACACATAGTAGTGACTCAGCTGCTGGCCTTTGTTTGATGTATTGCAGAGTAATGGTCTGTTCTACACACAAATGAATGACAGAAGATAATTTCTTTTTCATTCATGTTTCAGTACAAAGACAACCTTTCACAAAAGTATAGCCCAATGTGTTTGTTTCACTTCTGTCTTATTTTCTTCCTGAATAAATAGAATAAAGTGACTCTCTAAAAGAGGAATACAAAAATAGCTGACACCTTGCTAGACCATTTTGAAAAGAGAAATATCCTGAATGTAACTAGAACTGAAAAAACACTGCCCTCATTACTGTGTTGGTATTTATAGGCAGAAAAGTTACCAAAAGCATTATTTTTCAGTTTCAGTGTTCCTTCTTGTTTCTATAAAAATTAGCAATGCTTTTTGTGACCTACAGTCATTTTTCTCACAGAAATGTTGGAGTGTCTGTGTGAGAATAAAATATGTTGGCAGGTGGCAAACATGAGAACACTTGAACTTGGCTTCCAGGCTGAATTTTCATTTGTGCTTCTGGACAGAATAAATTAGCAGGGGCTGAGATCCAGTGAGGCAGTTAGGCTGTGACTAGACATTGTACTCTACAATCACTTTTATTCAGCATGAACATATCTACTTTTGGAGTTTATTTTAGGTCCAGTGAGTTCAAGCCCTGATTATTTATGTGCTTGCCTTTATTATTATGAGAAGAGAAGAAAACCTGTAGCTCCTTCTCCTGTTGGAAGCAGATTCTCTCTTTCTGAGCTCAGTTTGCATGCCCACCCTGAGCATGCTATGGAGTAAGGAGGCTCCCCATGCAACTTGCCATAGGCTGTGCGTGCTTCAAACACAAGATTAGGCAGACCTTTGAGGATCACGCTTCTTTCTGGAGGCATATAATACACTGAGAGGTTGTTGGCACACGTATTGGAGTCTTGCATATCTCCTTACCTGTCTTAAACATGTTTTATTCGTGTTTGTTACTGTACTCTGCACCTGCCTAATGAATGACTGTTTGCTTTTTTGCTTTACAGCATTCTTCTTGATGAAGAGGGCCACATTAAGATAACAGGTATGTGAGGAACAGAAAACTTAATGTCTACAAGCTGATGTTTTTCTGCAGTATGTTCCATGCATCTTGGTCTTTGCTTGGAAAGAATTTGCTTACAAAAACTCACAAGCCAGAGGAGTTTGAGTGTTAGACTTTTCTTCTCTGGCAATTCGTCAAGGGCCTGTGCTGCACAGCACATGGAGAACATAGTGTTTTCTTGGTAAAATTGCACTCTTGACTGATGTGAAGCATGCAGGCTTGGCTGCCTACCACTGTTGATGGAAGGATGCTTCCAATATGACTGCTTACTCCAGATTAAATTCTCTAAATTATAACTGTGCAGAGGACACCTAGAAAGACATTCCTTTTCCACCCTGAAGGGGCTGTCTGGCCATCCTTTTAACTGGTGTCCATCTGGGATTATTATTCCTAATGCTTTGGTTATCTGAGCAAGAATCCTTACCAGTATTTTCTTAATCAAACCTGAGCTGTGCATTTCTGATTGTTTAAACTCTCTTCTGCTTTGGGACAGAGCCTCATTCTCAACAGAGAAAATGATACACCTACTTTCAGGACATATTTACAAATGACAACTAGGCAGTCCATGTAGGCAGGGCTCCAGCACACATGCTTGTGGCCTTTCTGCACATAGACAGAAGGGTGCTTCATCAGCTGGTTGGTGTGTTTTGTTTGAACAGTTTGAGCAAAAGTGAAAATAATAATTTTATAGATCTGACAAGTTTTTTTCATTTCAATTTATTTAGACTTTGGTCTGAGTAAAGAAGCCATCGACCATGACAAGAGAGCATATTCATTCTGTGGGACAATAGAGTACATGGCTCCAGAGGTGGTAAACCGACGAGGACACACACAGAGTGCCGACTGGTGGTCTTTCGGCGTGCTCATGGTAATGGAAAAGTTGTATTTGTTTGTTGGAGGCGTGGCTGTAGGAGTGATCAGATCCGTTGGATGAAAAGTACTGTTTTCAGCAATTGAGGGTTGATAGAAAAGTAGATGTGTAATGATTGCTTAGTCATTTTCACTGCATCAGCGACAGCGAACCAGCTGCTCCTGGCAGTGTATGAGGTAGCATTTGGCACCAGATTCTCTCTTCCTTCTCACAGTCCTTTGCTGTCTTGGTTGGTTACCATGAGCTGTGAATATTTCTACTGCACAGAAACAGGGCAGGGCAAGCTCAGAACAGAAGCATTCCAGAAGAAACACCTGCCTAGTTACTAACATGGTTCCTGTTATTAAACAATTCCCTAAGCAGCATTTTTCAGGTACTAGGGACATCCTCTTAGAGAAACTCAGAATTTTACTCTTTTTCTGAAAAATATAAATTAAAAAGGACAGAGCACTCTGAGTGTTTCACAGGACCTCAGTGGTTCTTTTGCCATTTGTCTGTCTTCTTGACATCAGCATTGCTGACTGTTGTTCCCCTAATGAGATTAATGTGGTTTTTGTACTGGCAGTGGATCTCATTTAGTCTTATTAGCTGGTGGGAGAATGTCACTCATAAACCTCTCTTTTTACTGGTGGGAAAAGAAAACAAAAACAGATGGGCACCGTGTCATCCTCTTTTCTTCTTCTGTACCATTTTGCTGTGTCTTGATTATGACTAGTCTGGGATGTTTTCTTTGTCCTGAATGCATGATGAAGCTAGCTTCAAAATGATGTATGTGAAACAGTTTTTTAATGACTGCTCTTCACAGGGGAAGGGAAATCACCAGAAACAGACACAAATATACCAGTTGGCACAGACAAATAGCTAGGAATTCATCTTTTTCATAGATGTCTTTGCATTGGATTAACTATACAAATGTTGCAGGTTTTTCCCACCGTTACTCAACCATTAAGAGTTCTGCAAGTTATTCTGGAGGTAGTTTACATGGAATCAATATGAGAAACTGTGCTAATTCATTTTTTTATACATGGAAATCGATTAAAAGTTAGTTAAAATGCAACATGAATTTACCAAAAATTGGTCATGCTAGATTAATCTGATACTTTACTTGATGAGGTAGTCAACTTTTTCTAAACAGAGTAAATGAAGTGGATCTCATGTGTCTCCATTATAATAAAGTCATTGATACAGTGTTGAAGGGGAAATTCATTAATTGAGATGCTTTTTAGTCCAGTAGTGGTCCAAAGATGGTATAGGTACTAAATACATCACAGGGAAAAATACCACAGAGAAAAAAGGAGCTGTTTCAGCTAAAGAGTAATGTTGCCTTAAGAAAAGGTAGGAATAAACTCATCGTGAAGTGTAGTTAACCTCTCATTGTGAAGTGTAGTTAACCTGGAAAGCAGAAGAAAGCTCCTGACTGCTTAAGAAGTGAGGCCCTGGAAAACACTTTCTAAGAAGAGCTCTGCGAGAGATCTCTGACAACAGAGGAGCTGCTTGGCTTGTGAGAAGGGCTCAGTAACATCCTCCTGAGTGCTGCAGTGTTTGACACTGGGATGCAGTGTCAGGAAAGTTTTCAGAGAGATATTGAAGCCCCTTCAAGCCAGCCATCTAAAGTTAGGTGCTCAGGTGCTAATCTGCTCCCTCCTGCACCCATCCAGCTGCTTGCTTCACTCTGTGGTGCCGTTGCTGCTGAGGAAGATGAAGAGATCATGGAGAAGTTGGTCTGTGACACTGTGATTTTTTTAAAAGCTCTATGTTTTTTGAAGCAGTTACTCCCAGCATCATTTTATCAGGCATAGAGCTGTCCCTTGAGCCCAGACACCGTGCACTTATTACTCTCACAGGGATGAGGCTGCTGTCTCCTGAAGTGTGCAGGCTGCAGGTCCACCCAGGTGCTCTGTGCACGGCCACCAGCAGGCAACGCAACACAGCGCAGCACTGCAGCTGTACTTCACATCGCACCTCACCATGGTTGTTATGGCTCCCCTGCAGAACCAGGGCAGAAGCTTAAATTTACGTAGCAGCCTGCTCTTCTAATACAACTCCATTTCCTGTGGTATGGAAGCTATCTGAGGTAGCTATATATTACACTACATGCTGCAATCCATAGACTGTATTTAAATTTTGTTTACCCTACGTAGACAGCTGGTGCTACCAAAAGAAGTAAGGATAGGAGGCAATGTGAAAACTAGTGAAAATTTAGTGTGGGAACGGCCTACAACATGGTTCTAGCTGGTTGACAGGACTTAATCTAATTAAATATTGTCATTTATTACCTGAATTTAAAGGGAGTGGAACATCCTTATCTCCTATGGCTGCAAATGCATTTGTGGATACTCAGCATTTCTGAACCATATATGTTTATTCAGAAAAATCAATAGGTTATGCCTCATATAATAAATATATCCCAACCATTTACATTTTTCATTATATATTTAGTTTTGGAGGATAGCTGTGCCTTCTCACTATCTATCTGCAGTTAAATGATGCTGTATTTGGTGTATAGATTGTTTTTATTTCACCTGCTAATGAACTTGGCTCCTTCCCCCCTGTTTTTTGCTAGGCTTTTTTTTTTTTTTTTCCTCCATCTCTCTTTTCATCCCCTCCCCCGAGGATTCAGTGTATTAGAATTAGAAAAGATAAGAATCCATATAAAAGGAGATGAGATAAAGAGAGTAAAATCTTTTTAACTGTAAGCTAATGCTTTATGCCTTTGAGTGCTATCAGACAGAGAAAAATAGCACTAATCAGTTCAGTCTTTTCTCTTCTTTAACAATTAACTGGTTGGGGCAGAAAAAAGGTATTTCCATACACTAAAAGTGCAGGAGGATTTTCTGGTGCTGTCTTTCACTCTGCTCATTTCTCTTGTTTTCCTTGATCTGTTATTTGTATGTTCTATTAGGGAAGCTGTTTTTCTGCCACACTGAAAAACTGAAGAGAATTAAATGGTATCCAGATGATTTATTAGCATTTCTCTCTACATAATTCGCAGTATGATGTGAAATATATGAAGAAAATATACCAGTTGGTGAAATATGCATAGATTGAAAGGAAGTGAATGTGATAGTGTAGTTCTGATATCTAAAATTTTGATCAAAAGAGGGAACATATTAGGCATAGTGGTAAAATGGCCTGTAGCCTAGCCATCAGAAGAGCAACCAATCAATTTCTTGTCTGTTCTGTTCTGTGAAGACGGATTAATGCTACAATATGAAGAGTCAGGTTGTGCTAGCAGCTCCTTGCCAAGCTAGAATCAAACTGAATGATCCTTATTAAACGTGTCATGTTGTGATTATTAATAGCAAAACAAACGTCCATGAAAAAGACTAACTTCTGGTCTTATTATTTTATTAATTATTTTATTAATTATTATTCAGTGGGAGTTTTACTGTCAACAACAGTAAAACTTCATTTACCACCAGGTAAGTCTTTGACACAGGCCACAAAACCAAAAATGTTACCTACTCTCTTTGCTGCTCAGTTTGTTTGAATTGTTTTATGGTAACTTAGTATATGTCAGCTCCTAGAGTAGGACACATCTTGAAATTAACCGTTTCCAAGCATTCCAGAGGACAGTTCCTGCCTCTCAATGAGTATGTGATGACAACTGCTGGGACCCAATTAAAATTTTGTGCTGGCGAATTTATGTGGTTTATCATGACCAGACAGATTTTGTTTTCTGCCTTCCTGCATCTTACTCATTGCATTGGAGATTTTGGATGGAGTGTATTCTACAAAAGCTTTTCATCAAGAGATCTGCATTAATAAGCAATTGACTTAAATTGTTAAAAAGTTGTGTATATGACCAATACCTTTTCAGCTGCATGGCAAGAGCCTTGATGACCACTCTGCTGTCTCTGAAGCCCAGATAAACAGGTCTGCATGATACAATGTGCACAAGTCTCCTGGAAGGCCTCTCAGAGCAGTGGTTTTGTAGTTCATTGTACCGGCTTATTTACAAGGCCACAGACCTCATGGAAATTGTATCTCTTTTCAGTTCAGGAAAAAAACACTGTACAACTTTGAGAGTCATGTGAGCAGGGAGGGGAATATAATTAAAGAAGGGGTGTGATGTCTCAGTAGGCAATCCCAAATAAAAAGAAATGTGTTTATTTTTGGCAGCAATGTAGTGAATGTTTAAGTAGTGAAGTCTTCACAAGAAAATAAAATATCCTTTTGGTATCCAGATAGAGTAGTCAGCTCTGTAATAATTTTGTAGTAACTGTACAGTAGCATTGGAAAAATCAGTACATCAAAGCAATATGATTATTTATAAAATCCCATCGTAACACTTGTTTTATTCTCAGTACAAAAGGTGGTCTTCATGAACAGTATTTTGAACGTTTATGTTAGCTGCTATATGAAAGTGTTCAAACCCTTTACAAACACCTGGCTAATAATGAAAAGTATTTAATGCATTTTACAAATGGTAGAAACTGAGTGGCTGACCAGCTCCCAGCTACCTGGAAAATTACTGTAAGTGTTGAGAGGGGAACCTGGCCATTCTGACAAGAGTGTCTCTGCTCTCCAAAACTATCAAGTTTCTTTGTAAGCCTGAATTTTATCCTAGGCTCACAATACTTCAGCAGACTTGAGCTGAAGTAATTTGCACAGTCTGCTCTCCTTCCATCTGCTAGGATAATTCATCTGGCAGTTACCACAGGCTGTGGATTTTTTCTTGTTCATTATCTTCCCCAGTGACCTACCAGTGTTGCTTCTTGAACCCATTCCCTCAGGAAATGTGGCCCTTTCCCAAGGTCTTCACACTTGTATATCTTCTTGTATATCTTCTGGGGTCTCCAGTGCTGGTGTTTTGCCTACTGAAATTGGCAATTGCCCTGAAAACTAAAGGAAGAAAGGAAGCACTGCAGAGTACATTGAGACCTAAGCAGGGTCTTCCAGGTGACACCAGGAGGCCTCTTCCCATCAAGTTTTAATTCTGTGGTTCCCTTAATAGTTGAACTGGAACAGGGAATATTTGCCTTTCTTGCTGAATATTGGTACAGAAATAAAGTCAAGGTTGGAGGAAAGCACAGCTTTCTGAAGTTCTGGCAAAGACAGTGTGGCCCTACAGAATACCCAGGAAGCAAATCGTTGGGAGACAAGGAGCAGACAGATGGTTTATACAGATGGGGAAGGGGGGAAGAGTGAAAACTGAGTCTCCCAGCAAAAACAGGGTCTGCTTTAATAGGCAAAAATACTGCAGTTTCTTCACACCTAGGCTCAGCTCCTTGTGAACCTGCTGTGACCCATACAACTCTGTATTTATGTGCAAGGGTGTTAGCAGCAACTGCTCACTTCTGTCTGCATGTTTGCATTTAGCAAGATTTTTGATTTTTTGAAAAAATAATCAGGAAACAGGTTGCTGTGCAGTAAAGCAGTAGCTGTAATTGATGAGATGAACTGTTTCAATATATATTTCTTTTTGAGTCTCATTATTTCATTTTTAACCTTCAACAGATTCAACCTGGACTGAAATTGATAAACCAGTGCTTTCTTCCAGCTGCTGCTTAGTTGAGTTCATTAAAGTAAAAAGCTCTGGTACATTTAATTCATGTAGCTGCCTTTCACTTTAAATATTGATGTTAAGTGCATTTTTTCTGAATCTGAATTAGTCTCAACATTATACCTGCGTAATTGTAGACATGTGGTAACAAAGTGCTAGCCATTAAAGCAGTGCAGTAAATATTCCCTGCAACCAACCAACCTCCCTCCCTCCCTTTCCTCCCTTTCCTTCCTCCCTTTCCTTCCTCCCTTTCCTTCTTTCCTTCCTTCCTTCCTTCCTTCCTTCCTTCCTTCCTTCCTTCCTTCCTTCCTTCCTTCCTTCCTTCCTTCCTTCCT